CTTCAAGCCCTGGAAAACCAACTCCTGTAGAACCCCCCTCACTGGCTTTTCATTGACTTCAGGAGTCAGACTTGATGATCCTTGTGGGTCCCTTCCAGCTCAGAATGTTCTGTGACACCTGAGCTCAGCTCAGCCCTGTTCCTACTGACAATCCCAGAGGCAGAGCTGCAAATTCTGGGTGTAGTTTGCACACCTAAACCAGGTTCCTACAACAGGCAGCCCATTCATTCCCTGGGATATGGCCATTATCTCGTCCCAGTTTTCCATGGAAGATTTTGACTTCCTGCTGGAGGTCTCGGATCTTAACAGGTACCACAAAGGCTGGTCCTCTGGGGGATTTCAGCAGCTGCTGGAGGAAGGGCCAGGGGAAGGGCCCAGCCCTGCAGCTCCCACGCCATCCCACCCACGCCTCACTTACCGTGCGGTCCTCCAGATACATCGTTTTTGACAGGAAATCAATTCCAATGGTTGCCTGCAAAGAAGGGAAGCATTAGGGACTGCAACCTGCCTTCCAGCAGCTGCAGCTCCCACCCTTCCAAACTCTCAGAAACCTCCACAAACTTGAGATTAAGCTGGTGAAGTGATCTGGCTTTCGACAGAGGGGATGAAAACAAAGCAATCTGGGTATCTGCACCGGCTTCATTTCACAGCATTCCTCACACAAGAACCCCCCTCTAAGGCTGGATTTTAGCCTGAGACATTAATGGATCTCAACACAGATCACAGCTCATTCTGGCCTACCCCAGCTCAGCCTGGGAAAAATTATCTTATTAGAAATAACCAAATAGTGGAACAAATGAGACACATAAATCATGGACAATTCAAAGCTAAAAAGCCACATTTACTCAGGGCTTTCCACTTCAGAAAGGTGCTTCCCTTCCAGTGACACTCAGAAGCTTAATTTCTCAGGCCATTCTTTCTGCAAGTCTCCGTCCATTCACATTCCCATTGCTACAGCAATTCCAGTAAAAAGACATTTAAAATAATGTACTAAGTTAGATGCACTCCCAGGCACTTCAACCAAGCTGCTGTCCCAGCCCTTCATAACCCCAGGAAACAGGAGACAGCTCTGATGTAGCAGATTTTAGTGTTTTAGACATAGATTATTTTAATCCTAACACACACAGGCAGCACAGAAGGGCTCCAGCAGAACATGGACCATGGAATACTAGAAAAGACCACCATAGTCAATTTTGGTAGGGAGAACTTATTTTTGGGAGGCCTATTTTCTAGCCAGGACAAGGTTAATAAATCTTAATAAGCACACAGATCTCTGCCAGCACCTTACAAAAGCCAGGAAAGGAAACACTTGAAGCACAAGAGGATCTAGTTCCAGTGAATTATTTGTCCTCAACTCAAAATTACCCCAGTCTAAACCAGTAACTCTTTCTGGCTGAATTAAAAGATAACCCCTAATCTCCTGCTTTAAAGATATCTGATATTCCCTTGAAATACTTCTAAGTGCCTTTGAAGCAATTAATTCTTCCTAAAAATCTTCAGGCCTCTTACACATCTTCTCCTTTTCATCTGCAGCCTCTTCATCCCCACCCTCCTCCTTCCCTGCCAAGACTTCCCTGGCTTTTCCTATCTTTAGTCTTTTAGTTAAAAAATAGTAATAAAAAAAATGAGAGACTGAATATACCAAAGCTGACTTCTTGCAGATCCATCTATACACTCCAGACTCAACTACTCCTACTTAAATGGAAGCTCTAAAGATGCCGGAGACCAGGAATTATCACAAGATGTTCCTATCTTATTCATCCTCTGTTTCCTGAGACTCCCAAATCCATCACCAGGCATCTTGACCATCATCTTCTCCATCAGCCAGACCCATAAATCAGTGTTTCTCCCCATCTTCCTCAAGGCTTCTCACATACCCAAACAGGATCTAAACCCTGCTGCCTTTTTGTACACTGGATTTCCTGACATCATCCTGGATGCTCTGGTTTAATCATGAAGCCTCATCTCTGTTTCAAGGCACATTTTAACCTTTTATGTGATATTTAACTGACACCTCATGGATCAATGTGCTTGGCCCTCACAGGCATAAATTTTAACAGCAGGGAACAGATTTGCCCATAAATATTTTCAAAAAATTAAGATAAAATCCTACCACATACCTGGTAAGTATTGTCAAAACTGTCATACATAAACCTGGTGATCAGGGAGGTCTTCCCAACTACAAGAGAAGAGAAAAATTACTTTCAAGCAGCAGTGGAAAAAAAATAAGCACTGCTTTGGGAGTGGCACTGATCTGAAAGCAGCTGCCAATCTCAGACCATTCCAGCCACACCTTCCTGGGAAATAACCAGCTAGGAAAATCATTCCCAAAATGAGAGAGGCAAATCAATCTCTGTAGGTCAAAAATTAATCATGGTGATGGCCTGGTCCTCCAATCAGGTGTGTTGCCATGTAGATAACAAAGAACTGGTTGTTTGCTTTAAGCAACCCACAAATCTGCTTTGTTCCTCGTGCTCTGCTACTTATGTAATCCCCAAGCCTGGGACACAAACATCAAAACAAACCAGGTGACACCCCAGTTCTGCTGCCTTTGGCTGCACGGAAAAGCAACATCCAAGACTTGCATCCTTTCTTCCTTCATAATGAGATTTTAGATACAGAGCAAAGTCTGGTGGTTTGATTCAAAACTTTACATTTACATCTCCAAATTTAATCAAGACACAAAGTGCAGAACTGATATGAAACAGGAAACAAGGAGAAGATCTCCAATTCTTGCTCAGGAAGGCAAGAAAAATTCGAAGGACATGGATGGAAAAGTGAAAAGGAATTAACTGCCTCTAAAAAGGTTGTGAAATGATGAACATTGGAGAGGGTTAAAAGCAGGTTAGACAAATATCTACCAGCAGCAATGTCAATCCTGCCTTGGAAAGGCAGGGGAATTGGAGAACTTCTGGAAATTCCTGCAAGAGCTACAGTTCTGGGCTGGAGCAGTAAGAATCCCAGGATGGTCTGGGATTGAAGAGACCTCAAAGCTCACCCAGTCCCACGCCCTGCCATGGGCAGGGACACCTTCCACTGGACCAGGTTGCTCCAAGCCCTGTCCAACCTGGCCTTGGACACTCCCAGCAAAGAACACCACGATTCCAAGGAAAACACACAACTCATCCATGAATTTTGCGGGATGGGGCACAAAAGGGAGTCAACTGGAGACAAAA